TTTTTTTTTTTTTTTTTTTTTTTTTTTTTTTTTTTTTTTTGAAACAGTCTTGCTCTACATACTGTTCAGGCTGGCCTTGAACTCACTACATAGCCTCAGCTGGCCTGGAACTTGCAATAATTCTTCTGCCTATGCTTTTACTGATACTACAATGTTAAATTTTTGTACTTTTATACTATTTGGGACTATACTATTTTATGCTATTTGCTTTCTTTCTCTTTTTTTCTTGAAGTAAGGTCTTACTATATAGTCCCAGCTGGCCTTGAACTGCTATATAGCCCATGCTGCTCTCAAACTCCAGATCCTCCTGCATCAGTCTCCCAAGTTCTGGAATTTCATGCATGTGGTATTGTTGGGATCCGGTTGCCACATGCTGTGATCTGATCAGTCTCCGGGTACCCGGAGAGAAAAAGTGGCAGGAATGAGGGAAGACAGTAAGGGCCTTTATTTCTACTTTTACAAACTTGCAAGACACAAGGTTGCCTAGCAACTAATAGCCCACAAGGTCCAGGCAGGACGTTTGTCTGAAGACTGAAGAAACTTGACTGCTTTAGGCAGTGAGGCTTCACCTGCCCTCCCACAGATGATCAATTTTAGCTTCAGGGCTCCCAACCTGGTACCATATCTGGCTTACTTTTTTTGTTTGGTTGGTTTTTTGAGGGAGGGTCTTTCTGTACAGGTTGGACTGACCTCAAACTCGCAGTGATCTTCCTTCCTCAGCCTCTGGAGTGCTGGGATTGCAGGCATGTGCCACCATGTCTGGCCTAGCTTACATTTAGAAATGAAATGTAAGCCCTATATTTTGGCTATTCTAGGGCCTTTGCATTTCCATATCAATTTTATATTTTTCCATATTAATTTTAGCATTAGCTTGTCAATTTATATAAAAACCATGCTAGTTTCTTTTTTTAGTTGTAGTTTTAAAAAAGCATAAAATTTACTATTGTTACCCTTTTCCTTTTCTTTTCTTTTCTTTCTTTCTTTTTTTTTTTTTTTTTTTGTAACCAGGGATTGAACTCAGGCCCTTGCTCTTGCCAGGCAAGTGCTTATTCTTTTTTTTTTTTCTTTTCAAAGTTTTATTGATAAACATATAGCAATGAGACAGTTTCAAATCAAATCGAAAGTACAGTTTCAACAAATAATACACTGCATATATTCTTCTTAGTGGTTAATTGCTGTACAAGATGCAGACTTGTGATCCTACAAGTGCTTATTCTACTGAGCCATCTTCCTGGCCCCCAAAGTTGAGATGGATTTTTTTGGCGGGGGGAGGGGGAAGGGGCTGGCTCAGGATGCCTTAAGGGCAGGTCTGGTAAGGCATGAGGATCTGGGGATCGAACCCCGATATCCTGAGCCTGACTGCTTTGCTTAAGCAGACACAACTGAACTAATGGGCAGGCCCCCAATTGTTACCCATTTTAAGTGTACAGTGCAGTAGTATTAACTATTTGCATGTTGTTGTACAACAGATAACTAGAAACCTCTTTTTTTTTGGTACCAGGGATTGAACTCAGGACCTTGAGCTTCCCAGGCAGGCGCTTAGGTCGCTGTGCTATATCCTGGCCTCTAAAAGTTTTTTACAAAGAAAAGTTTTACAAACTGTTACATCTAGAACAGTTTTTACAAAAGTGAAATTTGGCGCATTCCTGTTGGTTTTTGAATAGGTATTGCTTCCTTTTCTTTTTCTTGGTTCTAGGGCCTTGTGCATGCTAAGCACACACTGTACCACTGAACTATACTGCCAGCCTGCTAAGGATCATTTTGCTTGCTTGCTTGCTTGCTTTCTCTTTAAGGCAAGGTCTTTCTATGTAGTTCAGGCTGGCCTTGAACTCACTATGTAGGCTAGACTGTACTTGAACTCGCAGGAATCCTGCCTCAGGCTCCTAAGTGCTGGGACTACAGGCAGGTGCCACCGTAGCCAACTTCAACATTTTTGAATCAACCGATCACTTTGGGGAAGAACTGCTGTCTGACAGCATGGAGCTGCCCAATCCCAGAGGGTCTCTGCCTTGCCTGTGCCTGGCACTCTACCATCCCTCAGTGAGCCAGTCATCGGGCTGCAGGGAGTGGCCCTCCCGCAACCAGGCCTGGACCAACAGTCATATTTGAAACTATCTGGTCAGCTGCCCCCATCTGATGCTGAGGTGGCCCAAACTGACTCACCTGAAGTCCCGCCACAAAGTTGTATCTTGAGATAATTATGTGATCACCGTTTTTTAAAACAACAATAAATAATCCCAGAGCCTACATTTGATCCTGTTTCTTCTTTCTTTCTTTCTTTCTTTCTTTCTTTCTTTCTTTCTTTCTTTCTTTCTTTTTTGAAGTAAACACAGGAAGATGTTATTGTCTTCACAAAAAACCAAAATATGAAAAGTTAAAACTGGGTCACTTGGCCCTTTCTTTTCTTATCTCCTCCCAGTTCAAAATGCTTGCATCTCTTAATAGCCAGCATTCTCTTAGATCTGTGGTTGGGCTCTACACACTGAAGCCTCAGCACACTCTTCTTTGTAGTTTTGGCCTTCTTCCAGAAAATCGACTTAGTCTGTCCACCACGGCCACTCTGCTTCCTGTCATAACGCCGCTTTCCCTGGGCATATAGAGAATTCTTGCCTTTCTTGTACTGTGTCGCTTTGTGGGGTTGATGCTTGCCACACTTCTTACAGAAAGTTCTCTGGGTTTTGGGAACATTGACCATGCTTGCAGGTGCGCTACCGCGAGGAAAGAAAGAAGCTGGGCTGGAGGAGGAAGTATACAGGCCTCTTTCAATCCTGTTTCTGTCCTTAACCACAGTTCCCAAACCCTAAAGTTGTGCTGCTGGCAACAGCAATTACTGGAGGCTTTTCTACTTCCTTTCATTGTATATTACTGCACAGCAACTCTTCATGGCCACTACCCTTGAACTCTGGGACTCACACTTGGCGTGTGTGTGTGTGTGTGTGTGTGTGTGTGTGTTTACCTCCACATCTAAAGTGTGGTATTCATGAATATGTGGCTTGTATCTTGAGGCTTCTAAAGTATAGTGTTATTGCCAGACATGGTGTTGAACAGCTACAATCCCAGCACTCAGGAGGATGAGGCAGGAGGATCACTGTGAGTTCAAGGCCAGCCTGGGCCACACAGCGAGACCTTGCCTTAAAGAAAAGAAAAAAAATAGTGTTATTTTCCATTAACTATAAAGTGACAATGATTAACTTTTTTTCTGTGGTGTTAGGATTAACCCGAGAATTTTTTTTTTTAAATTTATTACTGGGTCTACCAGGTCTCACTACATAGATTGGACTCATAGTGATTCTCCTATTTTCAGCCTCCCAAGAGCTGGGATTACAGGGGCCCAAACCTAGTCTCAATCCCCTTCTCAGCGTGCCCGGGGGGCAGGCCAGGCACTGCACACTGGGGATCGAATCCTGGCTGCTGGGTCTGCCTAAGCCAGCGCTTTAGTACGCTGAGCTATCTGGCCGACCCTAACCCAAAGTTTTGTGCTCTACCATTGAGCTGCACCTGAGCCTAGGGGTTGTTCTTTTTAGTATTTGTGTTCATAAGTAGGCACCATTTATGTTGCGTCTCAAAGCACATGCAGTCAGCTAAAACAGCCAGGTTCTTTTTGCTTTTCACTGACAGTGGGTGTTCAGCAACCACAGAACTTTTCTACGCTTGTGTTACTTTTATCTCAGAGGCTACTTCTGTGTCTTCTTGCCAGCTCCCTATCTTCTTCCGAAGGATTCACTCCTGCTGTGCGCCTCAAGGCCCCGTCCTTGCTCCAGTTACTCAGCACCTTTTGGCAATCTTGTAAATACTTCTTGACTATACAGCTGGAATTTTGGGCCTTCTGAAGCATGGAGTTATTTTCATTGATTTATAATGAGTGCAGAACATGATTAGCTTGTTTTAAAAATGCTGTTTTTAAAAATTCCATTCACAGGGGGCTATTGTTTACAGCAGGTTTCATAGTAAGTATATTGAGTAAAGAGCAAAATAAAAAATAATAGGAAATAGATCATTTGCAAAAGGGAAGGGGACCAGGAGGGAAGGAGGGAGGAAGGGAGGGTGGAGGGAGAGGAAGGGGCGGGATGGAACAGGATGAAGCTGTGTGATGCATGGGGCTCAGCTCCCTTCAAGGAGGGTAGCCACTATGTCATGCTCACAGGCACCAATACAAACTAGAAACTGGAAACAAAAAGGCAAAAGCCCCAAGTAAGTACATTCCCTTCCCTGGCAATCTTTGTTACAAGGTAACTTTCCTAGGTCTTGGGTTGCCAGTGGATGTTTCAGGACTCAAGGTTGCTTTTTTTCCTGCACGTAGCACGGTTCTCCAGGAGGGCTCCAGTCCTTGGTGGGATGCCCGTAGCCTGGTCTTTGTACTTTCTCCTTTCTCTCCTCTGCCCCTCTACCTGCTCTTCTTGGGATTTTCTATGTCTTAGAAAGCAACAAATCCATCCTTCCAGTTGCCCAGGCCAGAAACCTTGGCATCATCTTTCACTCTTCTCTTCCTTTTACCCCGTGCTAGGAAATCCTGTTGGCTCTCAGAACATTTGCAGAGCCGAGAGTGGTAAAGTATGCCTGTAATCCCAGCACGCTGAGAGCCCGAGGCAGGAGGATGGCAAAAGGGAGCCCAGCCTGGGCAATTTAGTGAGATGCTATCTCAAAAAAGAAACAGTAAAAATGGACTAGGGATGAACAGTGACCTATAAGGCTTCCTACAGTCTGGTCTGCTATTACTTTCTAGTCAAGGTTCAAATGACATTGCCTATTCTGATCATCCCAGTTAAAACTGGAATCTCTCCTCTGTTTTTTCCCATAGCATGTAGCACATTTGAATAGGTCATACAGTTTGCTTATTTCATTACCTGACTTATGTAAATTATAAGAGGGCAAGGATTTTCATATTTTATATATTAATGGATCCCCAGTGCATAAAACAGGATTTGCCTGGCAAGCACAAGAGCCTGAGTTCAATCCCCAGTTCCGCAAAAAAAAAAAAAAAAAAAAAAAAAAAAAAACCCAAAAAACAAAACAAAAAAAAAAACTAAGAACAACAACCAAAAAAAACAAACAAAAAAAAGAAAAATAAAACAGGAAGAATAACCAGTACCAACAGGACCTGCCATGTAGCAGGTGCTCATAAATACAGCACTTATGGAACGAATACATAAATGAGTGCAGTAGATCACAAATCACTCATTTGTGAATTATTTATTTATCTATTTTTATGAATTTGTTTTTTTCCCATAATTTTATTGAGAAAGAAATAGCAATGAGATAGTCTCAAACCAAATTGGTAGGACAGTTTCAATAATTAACACATTGCATACATTCTTCCTAGTGATTAATTGCTGTACAAGATGCGGACATGATATCCTATTTACAAACACCATTAGAACAAATCCCTCGAGGCTGGAGAGATGGCTCAGTGGTCTAAAGCACCTACTTGGAAAAAGCTTGGCAAAAGCACAGGGACCGCAGTTCGATCCCCCAGCACCACATGCCAGCCAGCCCCGCCCCCTGGTGGGCTGAGCTGGCCACAAACACACATACACACAATAAATAAATGTAAATAAATAAATAAATAAATAAGAAAGACATAAAAAAAAAACAAATCCCTCTATTCATTAAGAGAATGTAACTATATATCTATCCTAACCATTTTGAATACAGAGATACAAAATGGACATTCATCTGTATCCCCTTTTTTATTTTTATGAATTTGGTACAGGACCTTACCACACAGCTTGGACTCGTAGTAATCCTCCTGTTTTCAGCCTTCCCAGTGCTAGGATTACAGGTGTGTGCCACCATGCCCAGTCTCTGTGGTTGGCTCAGCGTGCCCGGGGGTGGGCCGGTGCAGCACCATTTATGAAATTAAAAATGAATAAAATGCAACAATATGAAGATTATTCACCATGGTAATCAGTATAATCACATGGAAAGGGTACTAGACAAGAGGTGACATAGGAGCATGGAAGCCCTGCCTGACACTGTCTGTCCCAGAGGCTGCCTGACCTTTGGCTTCTGTCCCCTCTCCTCTCCCTGCACTGTGACCCCGCTGTCCCCAGCGTGCCTCTATCACGCCTGCTGCAGTGTCCAGCCTGGAGCACAGCCCCAGAGATGCCTTGCACGCCTTTCTGTGCAGTCTCCTGCTCTCTGGACTGAATTCACAGATCACAGTCTGACTTCCCAGCCAGGATTACATCCTAATACCCCATGTGGACTAAATCTGTCACGATGTGTTGAACACTCTTTTTGACATTTTGATTTCTTGCTAATGCATTGAAGACTTTTGAGAGAGCAGGTCTCAAAGCTTCTGAGCCCCCTATGGCTGGCCTCTGGGAGCATCCAATTATGCTAACTGCCAGCCCACATTTGCTGTCTAGGGCTTTAGGGGTGGAAGGGAAAGGGAAGAGTGCCCAGTTCCAGTACAAATCATGTTGAGTGTTCTTGGCCATGTGGACATAAATCAAGGTGTCTTTGGTTTTCAGCACGCTTCCCACAGAGCTCCATCCCCAGACCCCCACCTTTGTTTTGCTACATCCTTATCCCTTTTTAAAAACTTTTTTTTTTTTTTTTGTCTTCAGACAGGATCTCTGAAGTCATTAAATGCTGGTCTTCCAGAGAATTTGTTTTCTGCGGGGAGCTCGGAGCTTCGTGTTCCAGTGAGACAATACGAATGTGTCTCTTTGAAGCACATTCTGTTCCTTGAGCCCCTCCTGAGCAGGTAGTTTTTGCTTTGCCTTGTTTGATGTTTGCACCCGTCTTTGGTGCTTTAGGGTTTTTTGTCTCCCAAGGTCAGTCCAGGGGATGGACTTGGGTCTCATGTGGCTGGAGAAGAGGGAGCTGGAAAAAAGGATTCATTCTCGGTCATAGTGAAATAATCCGAATGTACACAAGGGTTCGTTCTCTGTCCTAGCGAAATAATCCAAATGTACACACTTCAGGCGCATTCTGTCCACGCATGTCTGCTCAGCAGGCTCTAATGTCTGCCCCCACCTTTTGGATGTTTAGGGAGTTTGTCCTCTAGAGCTGGGTCCTGGAGATGGACCCAGGCCTCCTGTGATTGGAGAAGATGGCAGCACCAAATGATTACCCAGTTGATTCAGAGATGACCAGGGAGGAAATCCTGGTGTAGCGGTCTCTAAAAGGGAGGTAGAGGGTTGGCGAATGTGGAGAGCTGGTGAGAGATCAGTGGCCGGAGGTCATAGCAAGGAAGGTAAGAGGAGCCTGTCTATGTGAACAATGACCAGCAGTGACCAATGTGCGTAAGCACCAGGCGGGAATCCTAAAGTCTGGTAAAAATGCCAATTGCCCATGCAACAGAGAGGCTCATGCGACAGAAGGGCACACCTTATTACTTAGTATTATTTTTGCAGTGTCAGGGATCCAACCAGGGCCTACACATGCTAGGCAAATAAATGGTCTACCATTGAGCTATACTGTTAGCCCCGAAGCTATTCTATTCAGCTATTAGTCAGTGTAAAAGGCAGAAAAATTTGTGCACCTTCAGACTGTGTTTTGAATTTTTTTTTTTTTTTTTTTTTTTTTTTTTTGCGGAACTGGGGGTTGAACTCAGGCCCTTACACTTGCCAGGGAAGCGCTTATTCCACTGAGCCATCTTCCTGGCACCAAGACTGTGTTTTGAAGATTCTGTCTGGGATAGAAACCAAGATATAGGGCCGGGGAGATGACTTAGTAGAATAAATGCTT